TGCTCTTTACACTTTCTCCCCATTGTTGCCTGTGCTCCTCTCTGGGGCCCAGCAGAACAGAGACAGCCCTTCACACATCTAAAGATGCTGCCGTGTTCCCCCTGAATCTTCTCCTGTTCTCTCTGCTTACACACCACTGTTCTTTCATCAGTCTTGCTGTTCCCCTCACATACTGTGCATGTAGACATGTGTGGGTACAGGGTAGGCGGTGGGGCATCTGAAGCCTTAAGTCACCCCCAGGTTTTTGGCCTCAGTCTTCTGCCTGGCTCCCCTTGGTCAGTCTTGCAGGAAAGGGGCAACCCCCTTCTTGGCCCTGGAAGTGGGAGCTGGTCCTCTGGGACTGGTTTTGTAGAACGATGCCAGAGGTGGGGGCCCCCAGCGGTGGGTGTGGGGGAGGGCCACACCGCACCTGGACTCTCTCTCCCCTGAGATGCTGCCTTCTGCTTGCTTCGGGCTTTGCTGCTCTCAGGGCTTTGCATACACACAAATATAGACCAGTTATTAGGCAGTCAGTGCAAAGAGGGAAAAGAGGAAACAAGGGGACAGAACGGTTGGGGCGGGGTGGTGGGGAATTGCTCAGGGCCAGCCCTCAGCCCTCTCAGCAAACGAAGCTGCGGGTGAGACAGGAGCCGTCGCTCATTTAAGCCACCAGAAAGGGAATCGGGAAGGGCAGAAGCTTCATCCCAAAGCCAACACTCAACGCTGACCAATTCACCCAGCATGGTCACTACTCCTTCTCAGTGTAGTCTCCTTCCCCTCGGCCCCATGCTTACACACTCATTGGGCAGGTTTGGTTGGGAAGGCAGGGGGCCCAAAACACTGGAATGGGATTTCTGGGTCAACGACCGGGTCTAAGTACCACCCCTTCCATCTCCTTCACTACGCTGTGTTCCTTACAAGTGCCCACTACTGATGCCTGTGCTCCTTCCGCAACATTCAGAGGTCAACCCAACATGACCAGAGACCACATCCCGCCAAACACTCATCTGCACTTTCTCAACAGCAATCCAGCTGCATGTGGGGGACGAATGCAGACAGACTGACCCGGCTATCGGTAACAAGGAGGCAAGCTCGGCCGCCCCAAGCCAATAGTTCAGCGGGGATCTCCTCTGCAGAGGAGCTTTCAGTGAAAGCCGGCAGGAAGATTGGATGTGGATGCCTCAAGAAAAGACCATGTTCGTCTTGGGTTTCTGGGCTTGGAGCTTCAGTTGACTATGTCTCTGAGAGCCTGAAGTTGGAGGCACATTGTACGGAGCTCCTGCTCGGGTAGCAAACACCCCTGGCTTGCTGGGGGTCCTTTCTGACCACCTCAGGTTGGGGGGACTAGAGGGTCAGCCGAAGAGAGCCTTTTGTCGGTCAGATGGGTGGGTTGTCAAGCCACCCTAAGTTACGGTTTTGCTCATTCCTTTTCAAAAGTTCCAAAAAAAAGTACAAAAATGTTTCAAAAGCATTTATCTTCAGAAGAATTCCCTAACCCAAGAAAGACTCATTTCCTCCTCTTTCACTTATTCAGGGGGTAAGAGACTTTGTCTGGATGCTTGTGTAACAAGACCAGGAGACTTTTATCAGATTACACTGTGTTTTCTCTCTTAGTTATGGGTGACATGTTTAGAGAGCTCAGAGGCTGTTAGGGAAACATGACCAACACTGAAGTAACCCCTCCTTTAATGTCAGCCTGGGAGCAAATTCTGAAGAGGAAAGAAAATGATTTCAGAAAAGATGGCTCTGTCTGGGATTTTTGCAGAGGACAAATGGTGACCAGCCAGGTGCTGGAGCTCCTGGTTATCCCTCCTGGCTTAAAGAGCATGGTGGTGATGGCGGCAGAGCCCAAAACAGACATCTTTTATAACCCATCCCAAGATCCCTCACACCAGCTGCTTAGAGATCAGGGAGCAGTGTAACAGAGAGGTCAGGAATGTTAGATGGAATATCCAAAGACGCAGAAGAGGAATGAGGGTGGTGGAAAAATACACACTTACATTTAAGACTTATTAACAGGTCGGCAATACCACCTGGCCAGAAGCAGCTGCCCATCAGGGCACTCTGTTTCCCATTTCCTGGTCTCTGCCTTGGACCCCTTTCTTCCTCACCTCTACCTCTCAGAATCCCTTACTTCTAAGGTTCCACTCAAGCACCACCTTCTCCTACCTTACCTCCCCATTATGTTATCTATTTGTCTGTCTATATGTATAAACACATGTTTGTATGTGCATATATATTGTATACACTCATTTATGAATGAATAAGCACTTATTAGACACTTACTGTATACCAAGCACGGTGCTAAGAGTACCAATAGAAAAACCAGACAGCAAAACCAGACATTGCCTCTCTTGCGATAAATGAATCTCCTCCAGGGTAAGTACTATTCCACGCTTGTCTTAGCATCTGCAGTGCCCGGCATGGTACCTTGTACAAGCTTAATCCACACTGACTCATTGATCTAAAGAGCACAAGACAACTCGCACCTATAGGCAGGCACCTCCTCACACACTTAGTGGATAATAATTGGGGATAATAATAGCACCTCCCTCCCAGGGTTGTCATGAGGGTCCAGTAGGACAAATCTGTAAAACTCTTTCCAGATTGCCTGGCACATAGGAAATGCTATGTAAATGTTAGATAATTGTTATTATTATGATTATTTGCAATAGGAAATCATAGACGTTGTTGGAGTGACTTTCACATCATCTCTCTCCTGGTCACTTAATGGGTCCATAGCTATAGACCCCAATCCTATCAGTCATACACAGTGGGCTCTCTGATGGGGCTGCCATGTTCACTTCGGCATTTGGGGCAGGGAGAAATCGAAGCCACTTGACTTTCTTTCTAAATTGCTCTGACTCCAAAGAGCCAGAATCCATGATGACAGACAGAATGAAGACTGTGTCACCTGCAGTCTGATGCACACTTCACCACTCCCAGGAATGCCCACTCAGCCGTCCAGATTGCACAGTTTTCCAGGTGCACTGAGCTCCCTGCTTGCTCTTGCTTTCATGAGCCATCTGCCTCCATCCCCAGACCAAGACCCCCAAAGAATAGAAGTGTTGATGCTGCACAATGACCCAGTGCCTCGCACAGAAGCCTTGTCCCACTCTCCTCCCCTCTTGTTCGACCTCTCCACATCTGACTTTCAATCAAAGCATACGGTCAATGTTCTGACTTGGGAGCAACAAAGTGGGTCATCGAGAGTCACAAGCAGGCAAGTTTGCCCAAACCTAGAGGCTTTGTATCTCTGGAGTCTGTGGGATTTCAGGAAGAGTTACTGGGCTACTCTGGGTCTGGAACCTTCAGAGCACCCAGGAAAGAACAAGACTTTTGGTTTAACCCAAACATAGGAGGAGAGAACAAAGCCTTTCTCTATATGGGGTATAAGGGCATAGAGACAGACTGCCACCAGGGAGGTGGAGGACCATGGGTAGCAGATAGTAATACACTTTCTGTTGGTTGGTTTGGTTGAACTGTTTTTGCTTGGTTACAAGGAAAGATGACCGGGGGAAAGGAGCAAAAGGGGAGAAGTATATCTGGAAATAACTATGCTATAAAAACACAATATACCAGTATTTAAAAAATAACATTTGCTGTTAAAAACTTTCAGCGCATTCAGAAGGTGAACTCGTCTGCTCTTCAGCAGGACTCAGGATCACCCTCCCTGTTTTATTTCTTTCCCCTTTTTAGTGTCACCCTCCACATTTACATATTTTTCTTTACCTCTTTCTATGCTCCATTTGGGACACACCAGGAAAATAACTCATAAAAGAGATAGCATTGCTTGACCATAGACAACGGTTCTCTTGTTTTATGTGGTTACACTCACACAAGCATGTGCATGCACACACCTATGTACACCCTTGTGCGCACATATACACAGAGAGGCACGCTCACACTCATAGCAAGAAATCGACAATTCCTCCAGTTTATAGAAAATGGGGCTAGAGTCAAGATGGTAGTGTGAAAGGACAGGCTCATTTCAGCAGAGCTGACAAATAGACTCACTTCATTGTCCTCATGGTAACCATCGTAATTCTCCCCTCCCCTTTCTTCTAGGAAGTGATTAAATACAATTGAAACAACTTGACTTTTGTTTGAGCACTGACCAACACAATCCTTGTTCACAGGGCAACAAGAATCCACCCACCAGCCCCCAAAATGCCTTGAACTCACCCACAATCCTGCACCATCTCTGTAGACCCTCAATGAACACATTCCAGACATCAAATGCTCACCATCACCCAAGAAGTCGGCACAGCATGGAGGTGGGAGGGACTGTCTCATCTATTGATTTTTTACATTGTGAAGTTGGTTCCCTTTTCAATGACTAATGAAGGAAATATAAACATACATGGCCACCCAAGAGGCCTCTGGGTAAACTGTGAGTAGGGAACAGGCAGGGGACAAGGTCTACAGTTTCCCAGGCATGCCCCCCTTGGCAGGTTGGGTTTCCCCTTTCACTGAGGACTGAGCCTAGGAGTCTTGTGTCCTTTAACCTACACAAATCTGAGCTACATCTCTGAATAGGAAACCAAGCCGACATTGCCAACTCTCCAAGCCTCCGTTCTGAAGGTGTCGGGAACATGTTTAAGGATGGACCCAATTTGGCAACTGACTAGTTAGGAGGGACCCTGTTATCTTGACCTGCTCGATATGCACCTAGACAAGACGCATAGAGACAAGGTTCTCCATATCGGATGGATGAGGGGAGAGAGGGGCAAAGCCACTATTGGGACCATTCTATAAGAAACGACACCATAATGGAGGGGTAGCACGGGACAGTCCAAACAATTTAACATCAGGCCAAGTCCTCAAGATTAATCCAATTAGTGCTAACAGGTTAAAAGGCTATTCGAGGTCATACGGAGACTGCACAGGTCAGTTACATTTAGTCAATGGTATTAATATTAGTGAGTAATATTAATATTAGTAGTGACGGACATCTGCATGCAGGCAGGGGAATATTAACAAGGCTGGGCAGAGAATAAGAAAACAAGGTAAAAACTCACATCCGGGTGTGGAATAGCGTATTGTCCCTGAATTGTATAGGCCTGCAAGAAAGAAACCCATTGTTAGTTTGTGAAGTCTAGACCCCTCCTCCCTGAGAGTGGCCACCACTGTCCCCAGTCCCTAGTGACTACCAGGGATGTTGTATGAGGTGCTTTCCCAGCCTTCTAGTAGACCTACTAAGGAGGCTTTCTTCTCCCACCGTGTACTTCATTTCAGAAGCCACTCATGTGCGAGGCTCTGAGTGAGGGCTTTAGGAAGCTAAGGAGAAGTTAAAATTTCAGGGTCTGATTTGCTGCATGTAAGGAAATCACACCTAAATGTGGGGAGGCAGGCTTTTAGGGTCCTGGTTCACATTGGAAGGAGTTTGGGGCATGAAAACATGTCACTGCTGTGACAATAACATGTTGCCCAGTGTTCAGAGCCACTTCTAATTTAATTATAAAAGGAATTCCATTCCAGGAGGCATATATTAAGTGCCTACTGTGTACCAGGACAAGTGAAATAGTCATTGCCCATGAGAAAATCACATTCTACTGGAGAACCAAAACCAAATGTATTCCCAAATAAGGAATCCTTGTGGCCAGGCATTCTTTGGAGATCTCCACACTGGTTTTCAATGGAGAGAATAAGGATGCAGGGACAACTACAGCAATGAAGGTGGGAGACAGTTGGTTTGGGGGCAGGGTTATGGTCTGAACTTTCAGCCTTAGTTGGCAGTCTTCCTTGAATCTAAGTTTCCTGAAGGCAGGGAATATGGCTTATTAATTCTCCTGTCTACTCCAGTATCTAGTATAGGATCTTACACATAGGTACTCAATACACATCTATGAAAAGAACATATGTATGCATATGCGTGTGTATACATGTATGTGTATATTGTATATTTCTCCTTTTCTTTCACACACAGAATCAGGAGATTTGCATGTTCCTAACAGGGTTAAGTATGAAACAGATGCCATTTTAGTTGGCAGCCTGTTCATGGTAAAACTGATCAACGTCTTGGGCTCCTCTGCCTCCACAGTTCAGTGACCCAGACAGGGGCATCTCTGCTTTTTCACATGGCAGCACTGTGATGATATGTGTGGATGTCTATGGGAGTGGGGTGGGTGGAGAAGCACACTGTGGGTCAAGAAAGCCCTGGACTTTCGTTTCTTTCTTCCAATTTCACCCTCCTAGCAAGAAAAATCAACAACAGAGCGCCCTTTCCACCTCACGTTGGCCTTTGGATGGACTCATAGGCTTCCAGATCTTATGCTGGAAGGGACCTTAGAGGCTTCGTGTTGACAATATGAGAAGGTTGGACACATTCTAAGGTCCTGTCCAGTATTACATCTAGGAGCCTGTGAGTCTCTAAGTTCAACTTTCTCATGTTGTAGATGAGTAAACTGAGTCAGGGAGGGGAAATCATTTGCCCAAGCTCACACAAGTAAGTAGAAGAGACTGGATTTGAACCCAGGTCCTCCTGCTCTCAATCCAGCCCTCTTTCCACTGTACTACACTGTTAGGTTGTGTAGGATAACCCAGGATCTCTCACACAGAGCCAACTTCAAACCTTGTAGTCAGCAGACAACAATGAATCTCCTCCAATTTAATTTGTGCTTCCTTTAGAAGGAAGAAGTCTACTGAGGTGTGGCATTAAGGGATGGGCGTGGCCTCACAATGGCTTCATGAGCCACAGAATGCTCCAGCCTGGGCTTTCAGATGGTACATGGCCACCGAAATGATGGTTTCCAGAAAATGTGCTTTTTCTTTTTTCAATCAGCCAAAATACCTTTAAAAGTATAAGGAGCCATTTGCTCCAATGATTGTTTTTTTGTTAGTTTGTTTAAGGGACTTAATGTTGACTGGGAACTAATTGGCAAAAGCTAAACTACTACTACTACTACTACTACTACTACTACTACTACTACTACTACTACTACTGCTACTAAAACACATGGAACAAATGTATAAAGTCCAGAGGTTTAAAAGAATGACTATTCTCTGGAGGCCCCTTGAGATCAAGTCACCAAAGGACAGGTGATATCTACTTTTCAAATACTTCTTTTGAACTTTCAAATTATGGGTATCATTTTCAAAGTCCATACACCTATTTTCATGAAGATAGCTCTAAAGAGGACCTTTTCTGCCCTCCACACCTCAAAATCATGGCAGTGCTTTTGATCCTGCACTCTCATGCCTCACTTGTGATTCTCCATATGGTATGGGTGAAGAGGCTGAGTTCTGAATAAACCCGTCCCTCGGCTCCAAAGGGCTTCTTGGACAACCAGACACACTTTCTTGGTTAAGATGATTTCAGGTGGTTCCAAAATCATGGCAAACAGAAGATGAACCATACTTTGTAAAGGGAGAGTAGAGACAAGGCATGCAGGAGCTTTGGTTCTCTGTGCCCATCAAGCCCTCTCAGAAGGTCACCCTGGGAAATTCCAGGCTGGCCTAAGAGAGCCAATTCAATCTGCCCCCTCCATTCTGGGCCAAGAGAACAGTGAGGTGTGTAAATGAGGCAACAGGGTGCAGAGTGAGGCTGTGGAAACAAGGTCGGTCCTGCTGGTGAGGCTGTGCTTTCTGTCAAGGAGCCAGGGAGATCAGCTGAAAAACCAAACAACTCAATTTGGGGGGCTGATGCTTTGGCTCACTTGACTGACATTCATGTAAAATGGGGTCTCTCCATTACTCCCCTTGGAAACTCAGTTTAGAGTAACAAGTCCAGCTTCCATTTGGGGAACTTCAAAATGGGAGTCACCTTGGGAGCCTCCAAAGTCACAGAGCTGCTTAGTGGGAGGGCCAGGACTGGAACTCATGACTCACTATTCATTTGCTGCACCATACTGATTGTGTGTGCAGTAGAAATGTTTGTTTAAGTATTCATTCAATTTCAACTACACTGTAGCATGAAAATTTAACATGAATGGAGCAGATTTTGTAAAACCAGGGCCTTTGGTGCTGTCTGTGTTTGTCAGTCAACTCAAAATAACCTCCAACCCAAGGCCTAAACAATCTCTCATCCAACCATGGGAGTAGCCCCATATGAATTGGGGGAAAGCCTAAACCACTGAGTGAAAATGACTATTGAGCCTACCAGGTGGAGCACAAACGTGGGGTTGCATTGTCTTGTTTTCAAAAGAACAAAACTCACAAATAAAGGAATCTTATCAGATGTAGAAAAGCGGATCACTCTGAAAAAGTACTGGCTAATTTGGGGAGGAAAATGATTCCTCTACTCCAGCTCCAAGCCTGGGGCCAAATCAGACTAGCACATGGCTTTGGGCTGACTGTTTAAGGATTTCAAGTCATGAGCACAGGCACGGTTCACTTCCCACAAGAGGGTCATTTCTACACTATCAAGTGTTGAGATAAAGTTTTGGCCTCTGCCTCTTGGTATAGACACATCTAAGAAGTTTCCTACCTAAAGGAAAGCTGGAGTGAATCTTTCTGCCAATTGAAGAATCCTTGGGCAATGTGAGCAGCATCTTGGGGAGTTGGGTTTTTTTTTTTAAGTGGAGCCCAACACTATCTTGGTATATTTGAAAAACTGAGGAGAATGCAGTGGAATGGCTTGGCTGGGGTGATTTCAGAGGGTCACATGAGGAAGGAGGCAAAGAATTCATGTTTCAGGCAATCCAGAATGCAAACATGCATTCTGGAAGTTCCATGCTTTCTTATCTTACATGTTCATACATTCCAGAGTCAGGTCTGTTTTCACACATGCACCTCTCAGGGTCAGTGATTGTATCTTTCCTGTGTTTTAAGTCATGTCCAAGACCCTGTGGCTATTGATCACAGGGCTCACAATACTAGGGAGTTGTGTCCAAATTAGATGCCATTTCTTGGATTGGTTTTGGAAATGGCAGGGTGGCTTTTCTGAACACCAGTGCTAGGACTGCTGTAAACCAAGCATAACACACTGACTTTTTATTTCTGTGCTGGTGACTGACTCAGTGTATGGAATGAAGCACAAGATCTTGGAGGAAGCTACATTTACAGCTATTTAGTCCTGTGGAAAACCTTGAAAAGGAAACACCCTCCTGAAAAGCATGTCCGGGTCTGAGCACATGCTTCCTGTCCATTTCCCTCCATCCTTATTTCTTATGCTCTTGACCCACTTGCTAATACTGGCAGACTTGAATATTTCCCACCCCAGGTCCTAAATGTAGGGCAAATCAACTCATCTGAACCTAAGTCAGTGTTAGCCAATGGCTGTAGCACATGGGTAGGCACAAGGTGACCAGACTGACTACCATGAATGAACTTACCAGTCCATTTAAACCTGATTGTCAGTCAGTTCAGACTATCTACTTTTCTCCTTGAATTGATTAAATTCACTCTTCAATGGAATGAACCACTTGCCTTGTTATTTTGTGGATAATCTTTGTGTAAAATCACTACTAATGTCTATCTTTGAGTTGTTATTGCTGGTCGGTCATTCAGTTGCATCCAACTCTTTGTGACTCTGTGGACCACACCGTCCATGGGGTTTTCTTGGCAAAGATCCAAACAGACTTTAAGTCACCAGCCCAGGGTCACAGAGCTAGTAAGCATCTGAGGCCATATTGGAACTCAGGTCTTCATTATTCCAGGCCCAGGCTCTATGGCGTCTCCTAGTGACCTCCATGCTATGAAGTTATAAACCCCAAAAGAATTCTTAGGAATGGTGCTCAGAAAATGCAATTTTCTTTAAAGCGTGACTTAAAATGCATTCTTAACATAAGCTTATAGTAATGTAAGGCACTTTCCTTACAACAACCCTGTGGGGTTCTCTCTCCCTTTTTTCCTCAGGAGATGAGGTAAGTTGTGCAAGGTCACATAGCTCTTAAGTGTCAGGGCCAGAATTGGGCTTTTGGAAACAAAGCCATGTCTCCTCTTGGGCTTTGCCATCTCTCATGATATGACTTAGAATACACAGCCCTTCTTTTGGAGCTCTTCTCATTCTTCAGAGTTCATAGTTTATTAACTGGCCCAATATCCCCACTAGAAAAACCTTGCACTAAGTAAGTACATAAACCAGATATTTTTATGAAAGATAAAAAAAAAATCTCACAAGTCTCTTCTGGTGGTATATAAATCAATATAGAGGATCTGATAAGATTCCTTTATAAATCCAGTATTTAAACTAGACTTTATTATGAGATAGGAAAAAAACAAATGTTGTATGAACATTTATGTCCTTTGTAAAAGCAAAGCAATAGGTCTGGTACAATTCCTTTATGGATAAAGTTCAGAAATGGGGAGTACCTTAATGTGGTCCTTTTCTAGTTATATGTAAATGTGTAAATCTACATGTGTGTGTATATATGTACATATAATGTTAATTTATATACCTATATTTAAAATTTACACGCCACCTGTTCTCCATTCCCTGGATTAGTTTCAATTTGAGTTGAATAATTTCTCAGTAAAGGGGGGAAAAGGCTTCTGTCTTACTCTCCCTTTTATAAAGATACAATTCACTGAACAGCTGGGCCCAGAGCTCATCCACAGACTGACTGCACGGTCAATTGGCAGCAAATTATGTATCAATTCCGAATTTGGTAACTGGATCGAAAGCCAACAACTGCCAACAAAGGGGCAAGAATTGGTTTTTGTACCATTGCATGTGTTTTTATGTATGTGCCAGGGGTGGTGATGAGGGTGGGGGTGTTGACTGCTTAGAGACCATAATGGACTAGTGCATCATGGAGGCATGAATGCAGGAGGGGGAGGGGAAGGCACTGTTCCCTACAGTCTTCTCTCCACTGTCCAGGTTGCTATGAGCTTTATCCACAGAAAAAAATGGCAACTTCTATCCTTTTCCTGGTAACTTCTCCTGTCCTCTTTAGTTACTGGGGGAGAAAACAGCAGAGGGATTCCAAGTTTAGGATGAACAGCTAGAAACTTCAGATATTGGAAGTGATCAGTGGCCAAGTAGACTCAGAGGTCTCCCATGACAGGCTGAATAAGGAGCCAAAACTATCCAGAGGGAAGGAGGGAAATTTTAACATTAGCTCTTTTGTCTGAAACAGGTATGGTCAAAGGGCTGGTCTCAAGGACACTTGGGTTATTTGGAGGCATCTGGCTTTTTGCCTCTGTTTTCCATTTTGGGCAGCATCTGTGTTCTTGTGTAAGGAGATGCCCAAAGACCAGCATTCATGGGGGCTCCTGTTAGGACAGGACACCAGGATTGTGGGATGTGGAAGACAAAATTGCTGCCAAGAAATGGGGTTCCATGCTTTCCAGTCCAGTTTGCTACAAACAAGACATTAGAACTCTGGAATGGAACTAAAACTACCTTGGTCCTATTGACTAACTTTAAAAACAAAGGAAATATTTTCAGGACATGTCTGAGGAGGAAACTAGAGGGAGATAATGATGCTCAATTATGTAGATGGATTTCAGGTGTACATGGTCATAAGCCATGATGATAGATAGGGCAACAACATATTTTTGTTAAAGCATTTCTTCCAGAGGCCTCTAAGCCTGTCTCTCTACTGAGTTCATTACTTTATAGGCTGTTTATGTGTCTTCTCTGTTCTGAGAGAGAGAGAGAAAGATAGAGACAGAGACAGAGACAGAGAGAGAGACAGAGACAGAAAGAGAGGGAGACAGAGACAGAGAGACAGACATAGAGAGACAGAGAGACAGACAGAGAGGCAGAGAGACAGAGAGACAGAGACAGAGAGAAACACGTCTCCCTTTCCTCAGTTCGTGTCCTTGCAAAGGAGTCAAGCCCCCTGTTCTCCCAACCAATGGCAGAGTGGTCAGTGCTCATTTGGGCTGGACTGGTTGGCTGTGGCAAGCATGCAGAGCTCTGTGCCCAGCTGCGCGGGCATGCTATGACCGGGACGAGACCATGCAAGTGAGAAGGCGAGAAAACCTGAGCGCACTAACGGGCAGCGGCTGGTGCTGCAGTAAAAGGCTGAGGTTGGCAGTGGAGGCTGCAAGCGGGTCGGCTCTTACCTGACCACCTGCAAAAATGACAGGGGTGGAGGCGGGCTTTGGGCGGTAGGGGATGGTGGCACCTTTCGGTGGGGACTAGGAAAAGGGACAAGGAGAGGGAGAGAGAACATTAGAACGGCTTTCCGGAGATGCCCGTCAGAAGAGAGTCAAGAGCGCACAGCGACCGAGCCGGGGCCAGCACAGGCCAGGGAGGGCTCTGCCTTCTCCGAGCCGGTCCTCCCTCCTCGCTCAGAGCGCTTGGGGATGCTCGGGCCAGGCCCGCCGGAAGCGCGTCCAGAAGAGCGCAGCTGCGAGTCTGTCCCCAGCGCAGCCGCAGGAACGGGCAGAGGGAGGAGGATGTGCTCTCATTCCCCACTTTCTGGGGAGACTCCTCCCACATTCCTTGCCCTGAGCATTTTACCCAACGCACCTTCTCAGGTTAGTCCCCGTGGAGCTGTTCTTGTTAGCCCATCCTCATCATTCCTACTCATCTGGGACCAACCACCCTTGTGCCATCTGTCCTGTGGAAAATCAGAGACTGAGCCACCCCATTCCTAGAACCCTTTCCTGCTTCTGGAGGTCACTAACCATTTCCCCTAATGTACAGGAGGAATTCTGCAACCATAGACTTGGTTCTTTGGTGTGGCATCAACAAGGCTTGTTTTCATCTTTCTAGCATGTGCTTCAACATCCAATGACCAATAGGAAGAGAAGCATCTTCCAAATGGTGAGATGGGTGACTGATGAACACCAGCCATGTTGCCATGTTCTCTTGGGGCCGCCTGAGCCCTGGCACCCACTTGTAGAGGGTGCTGTGCCAGTGTTGATTAGATATGCGATTAATCTGGCTACCTTGTTGCCATCCCCCTCAATGCCCAGGAGGAGAAAGGGGACTTCATTGACGTCCTGAGTGGAGTGCATGAGAGTGGAACATTCACAATGTGTTTCCTGTGGATGGGGATCTCAGTAGAAATGATAATGCCTCCGATGGGAGTTAGAAAGGTCATGGCTACTATAGAGCAGATTTGTGCTGACAATGAGAAACCTCTGTTTTTCATGGCCCAGAAAATCAGCGAGTTCTTAAATGAATCATGTTCTAGGATGTTCCAGGCCCTGAAGGCCACAGTCAAATCCTGATGAAATCAAGTTAGTGTCGTAGCCATCTAAGGCAGAGTCCACACAAAGCAACGGGCCCAAAATGTGCATTTTTGTTGTTGTTTTTCAAATATGACTCCTTTCCCACACACATCTTGCTCTACTCAGTCTGGTGTTGGTATGTAACAGGCAAGTGCATGGGGTGCCAGGACAAAGCAGGGTGGGCTCCCAGTCAACAAAGAATCAATGAAGATCTCCATCCCCATCTGTACACACCAGCACCATCCTGTTATGGGTGTCTAGGCTGTCATTGTTGCATAGACATGACCTAAGAGGGAAAGCTTGGCCTAAGAAACCGACTTTACTTGGAGTGCGGTTTTTGTCAAAGCAGATTTGCAGAGTGCTATTATCATAAATCATCAGCACAACCACCATTGACGCCATCTTGTGCGGGACGCTGGCCTTCACCTGGTCTTCCTCTCTACAATTCATCATTTTATGAAGTTTATCAAGCCAACATAATGGTTCACAGGGGCTGGAAGCTGGGGTGGGGCCAGAGTTAGTTCTGAGTATTACCAGACCCCTTCTTCCCCCTTCAACTACTTCTCATGGATTCAAAGAAGCTCCAACTTGGTGGAGACCTCAAAGACATTTAGTCCGACCTAAACAAGAATTTCCCCTACAATACCCCCTCCAAGAGGTCCACCAGCATGTGGTTGGAGACCATTAGTAGTGGATAATCCATCACCTCTCCAGGAAGCTCTTTCCATTTTTCCATTATTGGGAAGCTTTTCCTACTCTGGGCACCTTCCACTCAGCACTCCAGTTGTGCCCTCCAGGGCCAAACATAACAATGGTAAATCCGTAAATGACAATCCTTCAGACAGCTGAAGACGGCCTCATTTCCCCTTTCAACCCAGTTCGCTAAACTGATCCTTGTATGATTTTAGTGATTTTATGACTCAGTGATTGTATGATTTCAGTTATCTTATTTCTCCTCATCATTCTGGTTATCTTTGTCCTTGGGCCCCTCTCTGCCCTTAATATTTATTAAAGCTCTTAAACCATCATGCCTAGAATCCAATGTCCCAGATATGGTCTAGACACTTGTTACATAGAGCGTGGGGTGAATATAGCAGGGAAGGCCAGTGAATACAACCCAACTTTCAAGAGGACCTGGTTTAATTGGGTTACCATGGGTCAGTCCCCTAGCTTGTGTCAGCTCTCCCATCCCACAACATGAAGGACTCTCTTCCCATCCAATTGAAGGCTGGCTTGGGGATTCTGTGGCTTTCATTTCTATCATCTTCACTGAATCATTCCTATCTAACCCTTGTCTTGGTGACTTATGCTGAGTTTAAAATGTCTTTGAGAATCAAATTCAACCTGGGCTCACACACATAATTGACTTGATCATTTTTCCCCAGATGGTTAGTTAGCATTAACTTGTGGATTCATTACCAAATAGAAAGGAAAAACAAACAAACAAACACATTTAAGGAAGTCAACTTGAGTCCCTGAGCAGACCATTTCAGAGCTGAGAACCTTGTAGATGGGAGTCTGTGGCTGCTTGCCATGAAATCAATGCCTCTGCCATTTACCCACGTGGGTTGTTAAAGGGC